AAAGAAAAATGAGGGATGGTAAAAAGCTTGGCTTAATAACTTTGAGATTATAAGTTCAAGAATAGGGTTAATTAATTTGTGTATTAACCAAAAGTTAAGTGTGTAACCAATGTTTTTCCTCTCAAACACACATTAATATGTTTTAATTGGATGTTGTTTTTTCATTACAAAGAAAAATGAGAGAAATTGTAAAAGGTTTCATAATCTTCTTGTAACAACCCTCATACTGTTTACCGATTAATGACTGATTAACTGCTAATCACTGTTAACCGAGACTGATTATGACTGATAATTGGACTGGTTAAAGTACTGAACTGACTGACCGAAAATTGGAACTGAATTGACTGAGTGTGTATGTTAATTTGTATTCTATCTGTTTGATTGATTATTTGATCTGTTCGTGTTTTCTGTTTAAACTGTTAATTGAAGGCCTTATCGACTGCCGAACTGGGAATTGGTTATTGTTTTATGATCATCATAATTAATGTGATTTTATGGTATAATTATCTGAAAACTGATTAGGTATGAGTAAATTAGATCAAATCTTGATCAATTGCTTAAGTTGGCCTTATTTTACCAAACTAGCCTTAAGTGCCCACTAACTCATACACCTTTGAACTCCTTGCACTTGAACAACATAACTTCATCAGCCATTCCCTTGTCATTGCCGACTAGAGAGAGAGAGTAAGAGAAAGAGTGATTCAACTTGATTCATCTTTAGAATTGCTTGGAATTTGAGGAATTGAAAGCTTAAGTGCATAAGTGAACCTCTAGACTTGCATTCAAGGAACCTAGGTATGAATCTCATCTTTTTGAGTTGTGTTTGAACGAATTCTTGCATGGTCCATGTTAAATTGTAGAGCTAAGCCATGTTTTAGTTCATACATGTTGATATAGAGCTCATTTCATACTTGCATGTTTGTAATGCTGAGTTTTGAGTTGAATTCATGGTAAAATGGTGCATGCATGTTCATGTCTTGAGTGTAGTCCATGATTTCATCATGTTTTTGAAAGATTTGGCTCCTTAGAGCATCAAATTGAAGCTTTGAATTGATTTGAATTCATGCATGTTTGCATGTTCATATTATTCTTGAAAATGGTTTGAAATTGAGTTTGAATTAAACATGATTTCTCAAATTGAGCTTTGAACCATGTTATTCTATGTGTTTATAAATGTTTTCCAGAAAATGGGCCCAAGAGGATTGGTTTTGATGCATTTGAATGTGAGTTTGAGCTTGGAGGTGCAATCTGGAATTCCCAGATTCTGCACTTCCGCTCGAGCGGGGGAAGTGCCGCTCGAGCGTGGAATTCGAGCATCCAGTATCTCTGCACTGTTTTACAGTACGCTTGAGCGGAGGATTGGGCGCTCAAGCGGAGTCATGTCTCAAGCTCGAGCGGGCGTCGAGCGGAGATTTCACCTATCCAGTACTTTTACAGTACGCTCGAGCGGGAAAGTTTACGCTCGAGCGTGTACCTTTGTTGCATGTCCGCTCGAGCGGGGAAACCTGCGCTCGAGCGGGACTCTGTTTTTCTGAAAATCCTGAAACAGTCTTCTGATCACATCTTTGCATCCTCATTCCATTCTAGGCATTCTTAGGCCTAGTTTAAGACATCTTGTTGAGGATAGATGTAGAACACACCGAGGCATTAGGGATTAAGTTGTTATCTTTCCTAACTGTGTAGCTTAGTGTGTGTTCAACCTGTGAACTGTGTAGGGTTGGCGACTGGGGAGACGCGCTCTAGCATTCTGTAGCCCAAACTCTGTGAGTAACAATTGTGTAAAGATATGTTTAACTGATTATCTTTTGAATACTGAACTGAACTGTTTACTGAACTGGTATTACTGAATGAATGTATGTCCTTTATTTCTGAACTATACTGTGGCATCCTTAGCACCTACTGTTTACTGTTACTGTTACAGAGATCTCTGTCGGTTCCCTCGTGGAGCCACTACTGTTTACTGACTGATGGCCATCATTACTGTTCGGTCTTTTAAGACCTACTGCTACTGATATGCTAATGGGTGTACCACATATGACTGTTTACTGTACTGAGCAACTGAAATACTGATTGAAATGAACTGTTTTCATTACTGTAAGGACATTCATTCCAAACCCCTTTACGCTTTATGTTATTCACTGGGCTTTAGCTCACTGCTTATATATATATGTAGGTGTGCAGGCACCGGACCAAAGCTAGAGGCGTCAGGGTCATTCCAGTTTTGTCAAGCCAACAACCGTGCCTCACTGCGAGGTTCCGAGTTCGCCATGCTATGGCTTGGGGTGTCTTTTCCCCCGCTGGTCCCTGTTACTGTTTTGTGTTACTGTATAGACTGTTATCCACTGTACTGTACTGTTATCAAGGGATTAGATCCCTATACTGAATGTCTGTAAATGCTTGTATAGCTTGTACTGTTGTGAATATACGAATGCATGAAAAATCTTTTTGGCATACAGACTGTCACAGCTCAATGGACATTATTTATTTACTGTATTGGCTTCCGCCAGGCCCTGTACTCTGTTTTACTGTACTACTGTTCTGCAGGCCTTCGGTAATCTCGGATTACTGGCCGGTTACGGTGCTAAACCCATAGGGCCGAGTTTGGGTCGTGACACTTCTGTAATAGCATTCCAGTTCATTCTTGTTGTTTCTAGATGTACTTTCTGTTTTTCCATTCTTCTAATCAAATTAATGGAAATGATTTGCAACCATAAATTATATAAAAAGAAACTCATCAAATGATATGATAGTGATGCTTTTTGAAATAATAAACCAATTTGATGGATCTTTTGGTTGGAAATGAATCTATAGAAATTTCCCATATCATTTTGTATGGATTCCCCCTCCCCTTATTTTTGTTAGCTAGATTTACATGGTTGAACTAATTTCTTAATAAATATACTTTTAAAATAATTAATGACTTAACATGGCATCAAAGTTTTGATTGTAAGAAATCGTAGGTTCAAATCGTGTTATCCTCATTGTCTCTATCATTGTGCATATGTTCTATTTATTCTGTTGCATTATTCAATTTTCATTTCAATTAAATGTTTCTGTTGCATTTTCAACTACTGTAGTTATTAAATGTGGCTAAATTTAATGATTTTTGGTTTAATTAGTGAACTCCAAGAATCTAATTAAAGTTTCTGTTGTCATTTTAAGTTGTTGAACAGTTGTTAAACATTTCCTTCATTCAATGAATATGTTCTTAGAGAAATACTATTTACACAAAAAATTTATGTATAGAATGTATAGAAACTCTCACATGAAAGTAGATCTAATATACGTTTCACATGTACGAGTTCACTTTCACGTTAGAGTTTCTGTGCATAGATTTTCTATATGAGTAGCATTACTGTTTTAAAACTTGTTTGGATGAAATCTAATAGGAAAACATATATCTTTGAAAAGTGGTGCATATGAAAAACATTATAAATACAAAATAATGCTATATGCACCAATTAGTATACTGACTAGTGTACTAATTGATGATGTGACATAATTTAAGATGTTTTTAGTATTTGTAATTTGTATAGTGAGTGGGGTCAATAATAATGACATAACTAGTGTTGGTACACTAGTTAGTATACTAATTGGTGCATATAGCACCACTGATAAGTACATGAACAATGCTATATGCACTAATTAATGTACTAATTAGTATACTAATTGATGATGTGGTATAATTTAAGTTGTTTTTAGTATTTGTAATTTGTATAATGAGTAGGGTCAATAATAATATCATAATTAGTGTTAGTACACTAGTTAATACACTAATTGATGCATGTAGCACCACCATAAATACATGCACAAGAGCCCTGCAATAAATACAACATATGACCCTACCTGGACAGGGCCGGCCTTGACCTAAGATAGGTAAGGCTTGTGCCTTAGGCCCCAAATTTTGGCTCAAAAAAAGGGCTCCCAAATTTAATAAATTGTTATAGGCCCAACCCCTTTTTTTTTTTTTTGTTTTTTTTTTTTTGTTTTAAGATCAATTTAAAGGGCCCCAAAATGTTTTATTGGGCCCATGTAAAATTTAACCCATATTTATTTATAAATGTGTTTGGCCCATATTTATTAAAATGAAAACATATAAAAACAAAAACAGAGGAAGTGTTTGGGCCCAACCCAAACCATACATACACTATATACAACATCACTTTCACTTCAGTGCACTGGTTTTGCTTTCAATCTCTCTCTTTAACGAAGTAATGAAATGAAGACGGCAATATGTACCAAGTTCAAGGCAAGGCAGACGCAGAGCACAGCATTGTTGTGAGCGACTCACTCTCTCTTTCACGCACTCCTCCGGTGACTCTCTCTCACACACACACACTCTCTCTTCTCATGGTAAATCTTCTCTCTCACTATTAGATTTTATTAAATAAAGTTGCCCTAATTTTTTTCCTACATTCTTTCTCTGTCAGTTAGTGGAATAATAAATTTGCCCTAATTTTTTTTTTTTACCTTCTTTATCCATTAGATTTTAGTAGAATAAATAATTTAGCCCTAATTTTTTTACCTAGGTATTTATCAATTTTAATTGAATAAATTTATTACCCTAATTTTGTTTCATTAAATTATTTTTTTATAATTTATTTGCTATAAGATCAGTGAATTTGTGATTTGTGGATTGATTTGCAGTGTTTGTGATTTGTGGATTGAAGTGTTTGTGATTTGTGGATTGAAATATTTGTGATTATAGCCATGTTTCCTAGGAAGTATAGTTCTGGAAATAAAAAGAGAAAGAAGATGATGAAAGTAGAACAATTAATTCAATCTCAATCGGAAGCACTTGATAACCAGTTTTTAATATTTTTGAGTCATTATACTGATTTCTTCCTATCTTAATATATGAAAGTAAATTTTAGTTTATAGTTTTAATGATTACATATTCAAGTATTTAAATAAAAAATTTGTGGATAGCTATCATTTTACGCATAAATTTTTTATTACAAAAAAAATATATTAGAGAAATCCTATTTTCATAGTTTACCTTAAGCCCCACAAATCTGAGGGCTGCCCTGCAGCCATCTATGCAAATTCATTGGCCACTACTCCAAAAACATAAAAGTAGGCACCTAACTACTCTAGATCTCAGCCAACAAAAAAAAAAGAAAGAAGAAGGCTGGAGTATCTAGAAGGTTAGTCTTTTGTGCAAGATTCACAAAATATGAGGAAGTCTGATGTCACTACAGCAGCACGAAAACTAGAAAATATATACTTCAGCTTCACTTCATTTGCTTCAGCCGCAGGTACCATATCACATCCAGTATTAGCAGATGGCTTCAACATTAAAGAGAAATCTGCAATATTTAAATTATTAAAAAAAGAAAAAGAAAAAAGATCTCTTAGGCTTATGAAAAATATCTATATATTAAGCAAGTAGTTTATTAATGCATAACTAATAGAAGCATCTGATGATGCAAAGTTGTAGTCACTGATGAGTAGAGCTGGAGAGAGAGAGTGAGAGAGAGAGAGAGAGAGAGATGGTGAAAAAATATGAGAACCATAAAGACACATATATAGGTTGGAGAATTGGTTTTCCACTCTTTCTCATTGTACAAGGACTAACCCCAGCCACATACATTGCAGAAGTTTTGAATCGTTCGATTGCATCAATGTGTAAAAACAAGATGGTCTTTTTACACCAGAGGGTACAACAAAAAGGGTGATTCCATTTATTTACACACCACTGATTTATTCAGTAGCCACCGTCTTTTATTTATTTTTATTATAATTTTATTCCCAAATTAAATTACTATTTTAGACAATATAAATCATAACTTTTTCAAGCATGGCAGCACTATCACCAGCCGCCGCACCTACTACCTACCTTCGACTTCGGCAATGTCGTCTCTCCAACCCCTAACTCCAACAACTGTAGCCTTCTTAGCCCCTGACTTCGCTAATCGCCACCTCACCAATTCCTGTCATGGTTCATCTCCTTTATTCTTCTTCTTCACGTCTCTTCATCTTTCTCTTCTTTGTGTGTCTCTCTCTCTTTTCTCTGTCTTCAACTACCACTACAACTCGGTGTTGAATTGAGAGAGAGAGAGAGAGAGATATTTAGGGTTTGGGTTTCTAGATCTAGAGTTTGAATAAACAAAGAAGAAGAAGAAGAAGAAGAAGAGAGAGAGAGGGGGTTGCGGAAGGGCAGAGAACGGCGTACGACGGAGTTGGGAGAGACGAGACGGAGAAAGGGAGAAGGGTTAGTGGGTGGTGTGATGGAGCTAGGGAGAAGGGTTGGTAAGTGGTGGTTGTGGCGGTAAGGGCTAGGGAGGGTCAGTGAGATTGGCAGGAGGGGAATGAGGCCATAGAGGGGTGGACGCCGGAGGATAAGGGGTGGCCACTGGCTGTCGGCGGCCGGTGGTGAAGGTTCTTGGGGTTAGGGCTTTGCTGGAGAAGATAAGGGTAATTTGGTACTATTTGAAAAATGATAGGTGTGTATTGAAAGAAAATAGAAGAATCTAATTTGAGTGTGGTGTGAACTAAAAAAATGATGTGTATTGAAAAAATTTGTGATGTGGAAATATAATTACCCAACAAAAATATCTATAATCTCAAAATTACCAAACTAACCCTCTACCGTTAATCGCGTTCGCAAAAGGGCTTGACAGGGGAGGGCAAAGTAATATAAAAAAATAGAGTGGAAGTCATTGTTATTGTTAGAAATCTCAGAGAGGTACCTCTAATTTACCCTTTTAATATTTTAAGAGCAAATCATTTGTGAAAATGTTTTTTGTGTTTCTATTTGTCAACATGGTTTGTATGTTTTTGATATCACATAAACTAGTTCTAAACTTGGTGGTAGAGTTCTAAACTCAATTAAAAAAAAGGAAAATTGGTTTAAGGTCCCTATCCAACTTTCAGTAATGGATTAGGTCCACAATGTGTTCTTTTGTAGCCTAAGGTCCCTCAATGTTATTTTAGAGTGTAAAATACCTGTCTTACCCTTGTTTATAATATACGTTGTTTTGAATTTGGCAGCTAAAGATCATATTGATATTTTGTGGGAGATTACGTGAGGATGAACTTGACGATTCAGATTTTTGTGGAGATTTTCTAGGGTTTTGTAGGTGTTGAAATCCTGTTCGTTGTTTGTAGGTGTTGAAATCCTGTACGAGTTGAAATCATGTTCGTTGTTTGTAGGTGTTGATCGATCGTGTAGGAGTTGAAATCTGGTTCATTGTGTTTGATTTGATTTCATGTGGAGTTGAAATAGATAAGTTTTCAATTTTTGATTTGATTTGATCGTGTAGGTGTTGAATTAGGTTTTTGTTTTTAGTTTTGATCAATGTGAGAGAGACGAACTCAGTGTTGTTCTTTTTGATTTTTGAAGTTAATTTTTCATTATCTATTATTGATGAATTTTCGATGGAGTTGATTTTGATTTTTGGAGTTGCTTTTTCATTCTCTGTCAACATGGTTATGAGTTCCTTTTTGGTGCTCTGTTTTTCTGCGTTTTGTGCTCTGTTTTTTGTTCACTTTGCATTTTTTTTGTGTAGTGCAGATAAAATTGCAGGTTTGTTACTATAATTGAACTCAAATCACAGAGAAAATTGTAAACTTGTAGTGCAGTGAAAATCACAGAGAAAATTGTAAGTAGGCAGAGAAATTTACAGACGTAGCAATAGAGCAGTAAATGTTTTGTTTTTTTTTAAAATTTTTTTTGAATTAAGTGTTTTGTGAACATAACAGATTTTCTCTGTGATTTTTTTATGTGCTTGTGTTTAATATATTTTTGTCTCTTGATGTTAATGTGTTTTTGTTTTTGTTATATTGAAAGTGAATATAAGTTCACAAATTTCTCTGGACTTTTCTTTGTAGTCCAGAGAAAATCATATGATTGTATTACAAATGATAAGTATTACAAATTTCTCTGGACTTATATGTTGTGTTTTTATGTGTTTTTATATGTTTGCACTTTTCAAAGTTTTCTGATATGTTTTCTTTGCACTTTTCATTTTTTTTTTTTTTGCACTATTCATGGTTCTGGACTTTTCTTTGTAGTATAGAGAAAATCATAGGTTTGTTATTATAATCCAATGAAAATGACAGAGAAAATGTTAAGCTTGTAGTTGAGTGAAAATCACCCTTGAAGTTGGTGTCTTGATCTTGATGCTTATTGGTTCTTCAAGGTAGCAACAGAGAAAATTACAGAGAAAATTACCTTGACAGAGAAAATTACCTTGTAATCCCAGAGAAAATTACAAGGTAGCAAACACTAGTTAGCAACTTATTTTAAATATCTCTATGTTTCCTTCTATTTCAGAGTCTTATTTTAAATATTTTATCAATGTAATCAATCTCTGAAGAACAATCGAATTGCGCTGCAATCTCTGCAGTTCGATCTTGAGAAGAAACTGATTCGCCCTTCGGGGCATCTTTATTTTTCGGAAGTGTGCCATCATCTGCAACAGCATCCTTATGAATCCAGAGAAAATTTGAATTTCTCTGGGTTGAATCCAGAGAAAATTCAAATTTCTCTGGGTTGAATCCAGAGAAAATTCAAATTTCTCTGGGTTGAATCCAGAGAAAATTCAAATTTCTCTGGGTTGAATCCAGAGAAAATTCAAATTTCTCTGGTCCAGAATTTCTCTGGAACGATAAAACTCTGATTTTATCAATTTGTCATTGGTTTTGCTGCTGCTGATTCAATCACAATTTCCTGCACAAACAAATTAATAGTTCTTCTATGAGTTTGTGATAGATTTTCTTTAAACTTAATGGTATGAATTTCTCTGGGTTGAATCCAGAGAAAATTTAAATTTCTCTGCCTCTTCCTCTGAATCCAGAGAAAATTCAAATTTCTCTAAATCTAGAGAAAATTCAAATTTCTCTGCCTCTTCCTCAAGCTTCTTTTTCCAATATTCTTCAAGTAGGGGTTCAAATATTGCTTTTTCATAAACAACTCCAATTCTACTAAACCCAAAAAATCAAAAGACGTTATATTCAACACTCAGAGAAATTTTGAACCTGAAGATGTTATATTCAACACTGGATATATATATATATGTGCTGACATTGTATATATATATATATGTATGTATCATATATATATATATATATATATATGTGTTTGCAACCATAGATAAGATAACTACGAGTGACTGTTTGATTATGGTTGCAAATGGTCTTAATTGATTAATTATCATATATATACTAGTCAAGACAGTAAGCAACAGATTGGGTCTTAATTGATTAATTATCATATATATACTAGTCAAGACAGTAAGCAACAGATTGTGTATATATATATATATACATCTATCAACTCCACTCCACTCTGTTTTTTGCTGAATTTGTTTTCGTACTCGCCGGAAAATACCCAACACCAGTACCAGCATGACAAAGGAGAATATCCAGCAGACGTAGGGTATTTTGGTCCAAGAAATTGATAAAATGCGCTTGTATTTTGGTTAGGGACCTGAGGCAGTATTACATTTTGTAATGTCCTTTATACAGAAAATTGTTATTATTAGGGAGCTTAAAAAAAAAACCCTCATCTGAAGATGAACAGACGTAGGGTATTTTGGTCCAAGAAATTGATAAAATGCGCGGGTATTTTGGTTAGGGACCTGAGGTAGTATTGCATTTTTTAATGTCTTTTATGCAGAAAATTGTTATTATTAGGGAGCTTAAAAAAAAAACCCCTTAAAAAAATTGCTTGGACTTAGTTGTTTCGCACTATACCTTTATTTTATTTTAATATTACTTTGCAAAATCAAAGAATTTTTATTTTTATTTTTACTTTTTAAAATATTTAAAGTTAGTATTAAATTATGCAAATGTTAATAAGTGTCCCTTATTATTGGAAATTGGAAAAAAAATATTTTGAAAATGGTGAAAAAGTTTTTAAAAAAATTAAAATTAATAAAAAGTTTTATGAAATTAGTAAAACGTTTCTTGGTTTCTACAAAAAAAAAATTTCCTTGTGCTCCTATATACTTGTTAACAAAAACCCATTAAATTATACCAAAAAAAAAATTAGAATATAAAAATTTCAAGACATAATTTAAGAACGATAAATTTTTTTAAAACAGTTGGACACGATTTAAAAATAAAAATCCCATGGCTATTGGGAGAACTTTGAGGACCAAAAAAAAAAGAAAAAGAAAATAGAAAATAGATAAACAAAAGCAAAAAGAGGAAAACTAGTAGCAAGAAAGAATAAAGAATTGAACGACCTTTCTTTTCACCTTATATGTTTTATGCATGATATTTTTATTTTTACAATATTTTACCTCCTATGCATTGACAAATATACCGTCCCCATTAACCTCTAATTTTCCATAATTATTATTTTAATCATACTATCAAAGTTATAATTTGACTTGTGTCAAAATATTTTTTTAATAGTATTATCTTAATAGTACAAATGACATTTTAGTCAATCGAATAACTCACAACCAGAGCAAAGAATGAAAACCCTCTCTTGGATAAGCAGAGCTAGCACAAATGATATTACTAAATCTTATGCCAAACTAATCGTAAAGTTTGACAATGTTTTTTTTCTTTTTTTCTTCAAAAGGCCATTGGAGAAAAAGTTTTAGATGACGATGGTATAAGAATATCTCCAATACAAAATAGCTAAAATGACATGCTATTGTTAAATTTTGACGTTGCTATAGTGTCAAGATACTAAAATTTAACAATTCCACTCCAATGCACAAATGCTATTTTTTTACACAATCACCTTTCCCTCTATATTCTTTCTCTCCAACTATCATTCTTCTAATTTCCAACCAATTTTTGGGTATGTCAAACCTCTTTTTTAACCACTTTAACAAAATAAAAAAATGTTTCACAATGTAACATTACCGAGAGTTTCACATTTTAATTCCATTAATACAAAGAAAGAAATAAAGCAAAAAAATAAATAAATTAAAATTGAAAGAAAATGAGTCTTTGGACAGAACTTGTAGTTAGGGATGGCAATTTGAACCCAACTCGATGGGGATCCGGCCTCCCGACCTCAATTAGAATGGTTTTCCCCTGAAAAATACCCCCAATGGGCCGGGGATGGAATTTGAAAATGAATCCTCGACAAATTTCGGGCCGGGAACGGTGATACGTTCCCCAGTCTCAGCCCCAACCCATCCCCATCTCCGTTTCCGTTTCCCCCAATGTGAAATTACGATTATACCCTTATATATATATATATAAACCAAATCCTAAAAAACAGTTACATAACCTCACACTCACATACAAGCAGACTAACTGCCTCTCCCTCTTTCTCTCTCGGTTTCTCTCTCTCTCTGTCTAAAACCCTTTCATCACTGCCGATCTCCCTCCCTCCGCTATCCTCTTCTCCCTTCTCTTCTACTGTTCTCATCTCCCTCCTCCCTTCATTGTCTTCCTCTTCCTTCTCATCCGTTGTCCTCATTTCCCTCCTCCTCCGTTGTCATCATCTTTCTCCTCCCATTATCGTCGATCTCCCTCATCCTCCGATCTCGGCAAAATTGAACTCAGATCT